AGTAGTATTTAGCTATTTTTTCAGGCTGAGTTAGCCTTGATATTGTTAGACAGATTATAGTAGGTGCTCATGACTAGTGACACCCCGATGTCGGACTTTTCTTTTTCGCACTTCTGTTTTTCTTTGATTTGAACTCTTTAAATGGAGGTTTTTATGTTAAATAACCTTGAAATTATCTTTGAAATGAAAATATCATTTTGTTTTGGAAATGAGTCGGCCTGCCTAGTTCCACGATAGGTGCCATCATGATAGGGGGTTAGTTTTGGGTCGTGACACTAAAGCACCTACTTCAGCTGGTATTGGATGTGCTTCCTCCTGCTGTTGTTCGGTCTCAACTTAAATCGCTGCTTCAGATGTAGCTGAACCATCCATACACATGGAAACAAATTGCTCTGCAATAACCTCTTGCGTATGACATTATTGTGTTACTTGAGTAGCAACAAAAGAAGATCCGCCTTCTACATGGCTCTCTTGTAGTGCCAAGTGAAAAGGAGCAAATATCGAATTGAGGGATATCACTGACATCAATACAATCTAGGGGAGGATAACTTTTTTCTCTCAGAACTTGGTTCAAGTTATGACCCATCGGATGGGATCTATAAGGATTACACCAATATATTACAACAACAACAACAAACCCAGTATAATCTCATAAGTAGGGTTTGGTGAGGATAGTGTGTACGCAAACCTTATCCATACCTGGTAGATAGAGAGGATGTTTCTAATAGATCCTCCGTTCAAGGCAAGATGAAAATAAAGCAGTAGCACAAGCATTAACAACAACAAGATAACAAAGTAAAGGGGACAACACGTAAAACTAGATATCTAACAATAATATCGCACCAGACTAACACTAATGCTACTGGTATGTAGAAGAAATACTTTCGACTACCTACTAGCCTTTTACCTTAATTCTCGACCTCCACACCTTCCTATAAAGGGTCATGTCCTCGGTAAGCTGAAGCAACATCATATCTTGCCTAATCACCTCTCCCAAATACTTCTTTGGCCTACCTTTGCCTCTCCTCAAACCCACCAGGGATAACCTCTCGCACCTCCTCCCCGAGGCATCTGCGTTCCTCCTTTTCACATGCCCAAACCATCCAAGCCTTGCTTCCCGCATCTTGTCCTCCACCGGAGCACTCCTACCATGGACCGAACATATTCATTCCTAATCTTATCCATCCTGGTATGCCCGCACATCTATCTCAACATATTCATTTATGCTACTCTCATCTTCCGAACATGGGAGTTCTTGACTGGCCAACACTCTGCCCCATACAACATAGTCGGTTTAACAAGTACTCTGTAGAACTTACCTTTATGTTTAGGTGGTACGTTCTTATCACATAACACGCCAGATGCGATTCTCTATTTCACCCACCCTGCTCTGATACGATGTGCAAAATCCCCATCAATCTCCCCATTTTCTTAGATAGTAGACACAAGGTACTTGAAACTATCTCTCCTAGGGATAACTTGTGTATTAAGCCTCACGTCCATGTCCTCTTCATCGGGCTTGTCACTAAACTTGCACTCCAAGTATTCTGTCTTGGTCCTACTCAACTTGAAACCTTTAGACTCCAGGGTCTGTCTCCAGACCTCTAGTTTCTCATTTAAACTACCTTGTGTCTCATCAATCAATCCAATATCATCTGCAGATAATATACACCAAGGCACCTCCCCTTGAATATGTCGCGTCAGTATGTCCATCGTGAAGGCAAATAAGAACTGGCTAAGAGCTGACCCCTAATGCAACTCCATCACAACTGGAAAGTGTTCCGAGACCCCCTCCCCCACTATCCTCACCTGGGTTTTAGATACATCATACATATCCTTAATCACCGTAGTGTAAGCAATATGAACACCTCTAACGTCCAAGAATCTCCATAGAACCTCCCTTGGGAGTTTGGCGTATGCTTTCTCTAGGTCAATGAACACCATATGTAAGTCTCTCTTCCTCTCCCTATACTGCTCCACCAACCTCCTTACAATGTGAATAGCTTTCGTAGACGAACACCTCGACATGAATTCGAACTGATTTTCAGAAATAGATACACTCTTTCTCACCCTCGCTTCCATCACACTCTCCCAAACGTTTATAGTGTGGCTCAGTACCTTCATACCCCTGTAGTTTGTTATAATTTTTTATATAACCCTTATTTTTATACAACGAAATCATCGTACTCCACCTCCATTCTTCAGGGTTCTTCTTCGTCCTAAAAATATTGTTAAATAATCGAGTGAGCCATTCCAAGCTTGCCATACCCGTACTCTTCCAAAATTCCACCGGGATCTCGTCTGGCCCACTCGCTCTTTCCCTACTCATCTTATGCATAGCCTCCTCGACCTGCTCAATTCTTATACACCTACAATAATTAAAATCTCGACGACTCTTGAAGTACTCCAAATCACCCAACTCAATGACTCTGTCCCCCTCCTTATTTAGGAGTTTATGGAAGTATGTTTATCATATACGTCTAATATGTGCCTTTTCCACTAATACTCTTCCTTCCTCATCTTTGATGCACTTCACTTGGTCTCGGTCATGAGCCTTCCTTTTTCTCGCCTTGGTTAGCCTGTACAACTTCTTGTCCCCACTTTTATCCCTAAGATCTTCATACAAATGTCTAAACGCTACAGTCTTAGCCGTTGTAACTGCTAACTTCGCCTCCTTCTTGGCCTTCTTGTACCCTTCTTTATTCGTTCTTTTCTCCTCCACGTTCTTGCTCTCTACCAGTTTCATATACGCCGCTTTCTTGACTTCTAGGTGCCATCATTTTAAGAAAATACTACAATGTTCAATACAATTATACCTCACAAGAAATCACAGAATAAACATATATAACTTCATAAAAATATTTATATGAAGTTAGCCTCTGAAAAGAGCTAATTTCAAAACACTCCAAGAATCATGTCTCTGAAGATAGCCTCAGGAAAAAACTTACTTTGGAATACTTCAGAATATGAAGTTTTGAACAATGTCATACTTCATCATCATTAACTTCATTACAAAAATCCAAAAAATACCCACACAAATAAAGTATCACAAAAAATGATAGCTTGAAACTAAAACATGCATCAAAACCTAAAACAAGTTAAACCCTAAAAAACAATCAATGAAAGACAAGGGTCTAAAATATTCGTCTTTATTTTAAATACCAAACATGATTAAAATAAACATATGTACAAAACATAAAACAAAAAACCTCACAAGAAATCACAGAATAAAATATATAACTTCATGAATTATGTATCTGAAGTTAGCCTATGAGCTAACTTCAAAATACTTTAGAAATCATGTCTCTTAAGTTAGCCTCTGAAAAGAGCTTACTTCGAAATACTTCAAAATATGAAGTTTTGAACAATGCCATATTTCATCATCGTTAGATTCATCACAATTAATCCAAAAACACATATAGAAATAAATTATAACAAAAAATAAGAGCTTAAAGCTCCAATAATACAAATTAAACCCTAAAAACTAGTAATTTTACCACTAATCAATGAAACACTAGGGTTTAAACTAATTGCCTTTACTCTAAACATTAAACATGATTAGACTAAACATATATACAGAACATCAACAAAAATAGAAAAACCATCATTACATTACAACATAATAGGCGAATTGAAGCATAAAAAAAATGTAAAATACTAAAATCATACCTGTAATGGATACTAAACCTTGTCGCAAAAGAAGACTGCTGCTCTTTCGTCAGAGAAATCTGAAAATTTAACTAGAAACCCAGAAATACAGACGAAAGACGCCTTTTAAATAGAAAGGGAAAAATCGTCTTTTCGCTACATTTTTAACTAAGCGGAAGGTAGCTATGCAAAGAACAAACCAAAGTGGTTGGGGTTAGATGTGAGGGTAGGTGGAATTTTCGGAAAATGTTTTCCTAACGTTTTCTAGGGAAGTCATTTTACTCCAATATTTAGGAAAATGTGATATGTAGAAAAATATTTTTCAAACTGTTTTGTGCAACCAAATAGTAAAAAATGGGAAAGTCATACCAAACACACCCAAAGTGTCTTGTATTTGCTGTTAAACTTTAGGATTTCGTGTCCTTAATTTCATGAGTGTTAATGTCCTTAATATTAAGGATAAAATCGTCTTTTCGTATTAATTTTTAAGAGAGTAGCGACTATTTTTGCTCACCCGTATAAAAACTAAATAGCACATTCTGAGAAGTTGAGGGAGTTTGGTGGAGAGAGAAAAATCTCTTTTACAACATCCTCACTCTGGTTTTCGAAATTACTGGTACATTCCATTATCACTAGAAAAAGTATAGTGAACTCAAACTTGAGGATGACAACAAACCAATAAACCAAACTAAAAACCCTTTAGTTTCCAATTCTGTTGAAATATACCAAACATGGCCTTACCAATCCCAGCACAGCTCTTGCTCAAGCCACCCAATTATCGAGTCTTGCAAACCCCTGAAGGAGTTATTAGTGTCACAGTTAGAACAAGAAAAGCTAATAATTCCAACTTGTGTTTTTATAATGGAGACAACCCTAGGTTGTATTCAGGTCTCACAAGGACAAGGGCGGCCTGCAGTGATGGAGGGGGTGAAGTTTATGTTAACCCTCACCAGGTGAAGTTTATTTCTCCTACTGGGTTGCTTGTATTTTAGTTTCTTATTGCTTTTAGTCTCTACTCTGTCATGCTGGATTTCGGTTTACTTGCACTAAGCATTTTGATCATCATGCTATGAGTTTTCAAACTCATTTGTGAATGTTATGTGGGTCATATTTGTCTCTTATAGGAAATTTCGGTTTACAAAACACAACTTTACAGCTTGTTTGGATGGTTGTTACCCATCGTTTTATAATGTATTGTATTGTATTATATTGTGTTGTATTGTATTGTATTGTATCGTTTCGTTTTATAAATACAATGTTTGGAGAGAGAAAAATCTCTGAGAAGTTGAGGGAGTTTGGTGGAGAGAGAAAAATCTCTTTTACAACATCCTCACTCTGGTTTTCGAAATTACTGGTACATTCCATTATCACTAGAAAAAGTATAGTGAACTCAAACTTGAGTATGACAACAAACCAATAAACCAAACTAAAAACCCTTTAGTTTCCAATTCTGTTGAAATATACCAAACATGGCCTTACCAATCCCAGCACAGCTCTTGCTCAAGCCACCCAATTATCGAGTCTTGCAAACCCCTGAAGGAGTTATTAGTGTCACAGTTAGAACAAGAAAAGCTAATAATTCCAACTTGTGTTTTTATAATGGAGACAACCCTAGGTTGTATTCAGGTCTCACAAGGACAAGGGCGGCCTGCAGTGATGGAGGGGGTGAAGTTTATGTTAACCCTCACCAGGTGAAGTTTATTTCTCCTACTGGGTTGCTTGTATTTTAGTTTCTTATTGCTTTTAGTCTCTACTCTGTCATGCTGGATTTCGGTTTACTTGCACTAAGCATTTTGATCATCATGCTATGAGTTTTCAAACTCATTTGTGAATGTTATGTGGGTCATATTTGTCTCTTATAGGAAATTTCGGTTTACAAAACACAACTTTACAGCTTGTTTGGATGGTTGTTACCCATCGTTTTATAATGTATTGTATTGTATTATATTGTGTTGTATTGTATTGTATTGTATCGTTTTATAAATACAATGTTTGGATAGATTGTATTGTTTGCAGTTGTTAAATAACATTTTGCTGTTTGGTTTGACGGTATGGTACTGTACTGTAACTGATAAGTTTACTAAAATACCCTCAATTGTTTAAATATTAAATTTATCAATAATTACGCATAAAAATAATTTAAAAAACCCCCTTTCTACTAATTTATCACCAAATATGTCTTAAAAATAGATTAAACAATTAAATTCATGCAAATTCTAACAAAATTAGCAATTTTAGGTTGAAGTTGGAAAAGGCATAAGTTCTGAAAAAAAAAGGGACGAAGACAAAGTAGGTTATAGGTGGGAGATTTGGAGTAAAATTTTAAAAAAAAAAAGGTAAACGGTAAAATAGAATTATGGAGTAATAAGTTAGGGCATAATTGGAAAGAAAAATAGGAAACAATCCCACCACAGCAAATCGGTTGTTTCAAAAATGGGACTTTTCATTGTTTCGGAACAGTGAATTTAACAATACAATACAACCAATTTTAATGAAACAATCAAAACAAACATTGTTTTGAGATAACAATACAATACGATACAACGAGTAACAACCATCCAAACAAGCTGTTAACCTCCAGTTCTTAATCCTAGAGATAAACAAATATAAACCTGTTTGCTTAATGTGTACTTAAGCCTTGAGAGTACTTCCATTTTTAGTGGTGATCTTTCTTTCACCAACTCTTTCAGAGCTTATCTGCATCAAGTTAAAGCATGTTTTTTACATGATGATGAATCTTCCTCTTTCATTTACAGGATGTTGATAAGTTAAAGGATAGCTCATCTAACACAGGTGACAGTTACATTGCCTTGTTTGTTCGGATGCTTGGTTTGGACCATGACCCTCTAGATAGAGAACAGGCAGTCATTGCTCTCTGGAAGTATTCACTTGGAGGGAAGCAGTGTGTTGATATGTTAATGAAGTTCCGGGGTTCTGTTAATCTGGCTGTGAACCTTCTAAGGTCTGAGTCTGATGCTGCTTGTGAAGCAGCTGCTGGTCTTTTGAGGATGATATCCTCAGTGAATATGTACAGAGAGCTTGTGGCAGATAGTGGTGCAATAGAAGAGATAAACGGCCTCTTGAGACGTTCTTCCCTCTCCCCAAATGTGCAAAATCTACCTCATTTTTTCTGTCCTCATGTCTTTTTGATACAGCATTTGAGGCACAAGCTTGAATTTATTTCTGCAGGTGAAGGAGCAAAGCTTATGTTCATTATGGAATTTATCTGTGGATGAGAAACTCAGAAACAAAATTGCCAACTCTGATCTCTTGCCTTTACTGTTAAAGTTCCTGGAGGATGAAGAAGTGAAAGTGAAGGAGGCAGCTACAAGGGTTTTGGCTAATTTAGCATTGACTGTTTCTAATCACAAGAATATGGTTGAAGCAGGTGTCATCCCAAAACTGGTAAGACACTAAGATCGGTTGATTCGTGTTCTTACACTTTTTTTTGGGTAGATATCAATTGGTCTTGAATATATTTATGAGTGCTTAAGAATTGCAAAATTTTTATATCAATTACCTTCTGGAACTCCAGGATTTTCCATGTACCATTAAGAAAAAGAGATCTAGAATATAATTTGCTGGTTCTTGAACAAGGATAGGGAGGAAAGAACCTAATAGAACTTAATAGATACAGAAAAGATGGTGGGAGGTAGTAGGTATCCCGTGGAATTAGTCAAGGTGCGTGCAAGCTGGCCCGGACACCACGGTTCTAAAAAAAAGATACAGGAAAGATCTAAAATATAATTAGTTGGTTCTTGAACAAGTATAGGGAGGGAAACCAAATAGATACAGAGTAGAATCGAAAGAAATGGAGGCCATGGTGCATGATATACATTTACTTCTACAAACCATGTAAAAGATCAGCCAAGTTGACAATGTAATTAACTAGTAAGGCATTCATGAAGAGATTGTTATACGCAGTTGGATTAAGCAAGAATGTCTAACGCTTCTTAGTCTCATCTTCTGCTTATAACATGTAGGTGATTTGATCTATAAAAACATTGTTAATTTGTTGAATCTGTTCTAAGTCTACTGCAATGTGCTCCAGAAAAGAAGTTAGTTTTTATCATTTTTTATTATAGTTTGTGGCATATTTAGGGCTGGATTTTTTAATCCATTTTTCAGTGGTTAATGTCTTTGATGCCGCAAAACTGAATCTCAGATAATTTCATTACCTTGGAGCTGTGCAGGCAATGCTCTTGAAAACTGAGGTGGAGGGATCTAAGGTCATTAAAAAAGAAGCGAGGAATGCGTTGCTGGAACTTGCTAAAGATGAGTACAGCAAGATTCTTATCAAGGAGGAAGATCTTCTTCTGGTCCCTTTAGTTGGTGCAGTTGCCTACAAGTCCTTCAGGCCAGCTCTGTATTCATGGCCTTCTTTGCCCGATGGTACCAAAATTGACCAGAACCCAAAAACTTCAAGATATGGCGCCTCTGAATTACTTCTTGGATTAAATATTGAGGATAAGAATGCAAACATTGAGGAAGCAAAAATGAAGGCAATGGTAGGACGCACTCAACAGCAATTTCTTGCACGTATTGGGGCAATAGAAATTGAAGAAGATAATATATCCAGTGGTGAACTTTCATCAAATCCAAGGTTTACTCTGTTGCCGTGGATGGATGGCGTGGCTCGCTTGGTTTTAATTCTTGGACTTGAAGATGAGTCAGCTATTGCTAGAGCTGCAGAGGCCATTGCAGATGTATCTATTAATGAGCGAATGCGGGTTTCATTTAAAGAAGCAGGTGCTATAAACCCTCTTGTTCGGCTAATTAACCATCCTAGTGACACTGTTAAATTAGCTGTTATTCGGGCTCTGGAGAGGCTATCTATCAGGTAGTTATCATATTAACTTTAACATGTTATACTCTTCCATGTAGTTAAGACACATTAATGACTTATCTAATTATGTCCTATGTGATTATGGCTCTGTGGTAAAGGTTCATTGATTTACTTTCAGCAGTGAGCCGTGAAAGTTCTCTCCTTTATTTAATATTGATGTTAGGGGCGTAATCATCTGATAATTGCACCTTAGAAAAGGTGAATTCTTCCTCCATTATGTGCTTACTTTGAAGCAAATATGATTCATGGCTCTGGTAATGCACTAAGCTCTTAAAGGGATCTGGCTATAAAGCAACTTGTTCAATTAACAATCCTTGTGATTCTATTAGATTTGCTGTTATTTGCTAAATTTGTCTTGTACTTCTTGTGTTTCCATGGTTATGAGACATAAGTGACTTGTTGCAGCTAAATATTTCAATCTGTATGACTCTCTTTAATGTCTAGAAATCTTCTGCTTAGCACCTAGCAGAAAAAGTTAACTTCCTTCTTTGGATCTTAATGTTAAGTAAGGGCCTAGTGATCGGGTCTATGCATTTTGGAGAGAAAAATTCTTCTGCCATAATGTGATTTTTTTTGAGTGAATATGACTCTGTTGCTTTGATGTTAACCAAAACTCTTTTAAAATGTTTCTTTGAAGCCAGAGCAACATATGTTAGAAAGATTATTTAGAATTTTGATGTTGCTGACACCCAAGACTTTTACTAATTTCGTCATAGTACTTTTTCGGCTTGTCACAACTTTCATTCCCTCATTCTTGCAGTTAAGTGTAGTTCTTCCATATTGTATTAGATTTGGTTTAAAGTTCACACTATAACTTGAAAGAGTTTGGAACAGAATTCATTATGCACTTTGTGTTCCTGTTTTGTACTCTCCTTGGCTTAAGATTAAGTTAATCTATCCTGTTCAACGTGCACCTATGGCTAATTATATTGTTTCATGTCTTTCTGGATGAAGTAATGACGTATGCCAAAGAATGGAAGCAGAAAATGTCTTGCATTCTTTGATTTACTTGCTCAGTAACTCGGAGATCTCTAAAAGCTTGACAAATATGGTAATGCAATTTATTTTATATCTAAAATGTTGATTAGTCATATTCTTGTTCCACAGAAGTAAAATGATATTATTTCCTACACAGATATTGGATATTCTTACTCGGATCCTAGATCCTAGCAAAGAAATGAAATCAAAGGTCTGGAGCTATCACTCTTTAGTTCTTCGAGAGAGCTCAAATTCGTTCTACAACCTCTCTGAGTGACTCTTTTCTTTCTGGGTTATCTTCAGTTTTATTATGGACCAGTTAATGGGTTGACAAAGGAATGGAGTGCAGCAAGAAATGCAGGGTTGACTGGAAATGAAAATGAGAAAGTTGCATCAACAACCAGGTTTCATGTTTGTTTCCATGTTTTGTACTCCTCCCCTCCCTTTTATATCTATGTGTTCCATGCCGATCTTGAATTGTTTAGTTCATGAATACCTGCTTCCCATGATATCAGTCTTGCAGAGATTTTTAATGAGCCTACAATTATTTATTTGGGAGATCTGATTCTTAATTATAAGAACAATCACTTGCTACATTAACAGGCTCTTGATTTTGGATATCTGATGCCGAAGAGTGGGAGGGAGGGAATGGTGTGGCTGATTGAGCTGGGCAGGAAGGGAGACTAAACATTAAGAAGCTCACAAGACAGCCAGTTAGGTTTGGTGAGGGGTGGGGTTGGAAGNACAAAGGAATGGAGTGCAGCAAGAAATGCAGGGTTGACTGGAAATGAAAATGAGAAAGTTGCATCAACAACCAGGTTTCATGTTTGTTTCCATGTTTTGTACTCCTCCCCTCCCTCTTATATCTGTGTTCCATGCCGATCTTGAATTGTTTAGTTCATGAATACCTGCTTCCCATGATATCAGTCTTGCAGAGATTTTTAATGAGCCTACAATTATTTATTTGGGAGATCTGATTCTTAATTATAAGAACAATCACTTGCTACATTAACAGGCTCTTGATTTTGGATATCTGATGCCGAAGAGTGGGAGGGAGGGAATGGTGTGTATGATTGAGCTGGGCAGGAAGGGAGACTAAACATTAAGAAGCTCACAAGACAGCCAGTTAGGTTTGGTGAGGGGTGGGGTTGGAAGAGGGTAACAGGTTGTCTAATAGCCCTTGCACACACTGTTTCCGTAGCCCATTATATAAAGTGGAGTGTTCACCTTAAGGGATGTGGATCACTTTCTCTACTAGTCCAATACTTGAGAATTGAGACTTTTCCCAGTGGAATCTACATCTAAAGTCACCGAGATGTAACTTGTTAGAATATCAAGTGAATACGTGTCTAGAATTATACATATCTAGACAATGTACAAGAGGTGCTCCTTGTTAGTTTACAGCATGTATATAGTGTAGTATTGTCCCACATTGGTAGAAGAGTAGTATGTCTTTGTATAGTATAGCTATAAATAAGGACCTCTTGTATTGTATTGATCATCCAATATCAATAACATATTTTCTCCCGTGCCTTCTCACATGGTATCAGAGCAATTGTGAGAGACTTATCGCTGTGCATAAATTCCAGCGATTCCGGGAAAGAGAAATCGCTGTGCATAAATTCCAACGATTCCGGGAAAGAGAAATCAGTATTTTTTAAGGCTGTTTTCTATCTGTTTCATTTCTGTCAGTGTTGTGCAAAATCCAACACTACCACGAGAGTCGTCACTGTCCGGCGAC